GTCATAAGCCCTACTCAGCACCCTTATGCAGGTTCTTTAAATCCACATGATGAAGCTCTAGAAAGCCTCATACTGAAAGTGCTGCACAACTTTTGAGTTATCAAAGGAATAAGTTGTATTTCAGAAGAGTAGTAATGCCTCATCCTTACTTATGCCCTTCCTGATGGCAGTACCTGTGCAGGTATGTCGTATGTGTTGATGGTGTCCTCCAGTTCTCAATGGCTTGTCCTCTAGGGGGGAAAAGTGCCTTGACTTGGGAGTGTTAGCTCAGCAGTAACACACCTGTACTCCCAAGAGGCCAGGGCTAGAGGCCATTTCCTTAAAAGGCAAGGAAAGCTTAAGCACCCCACCCCTTTGAAGCAGCACAGATTATGGAACTATTTTCACTTCCTCTCATGATGCCTGTTCAGTAATTTTTACCACTTAAGTAGCACAGTGAAAGAATGAGGAAAATGCCTTTAACTCTTTCTTTTCTAGGTCGAGGAGATGGCCCTTCAGTCAATGATTAATTCTAGAGGAGGGGATGAAATGCTGTCTTCTCAATCTGCACCTGAACAATCACAGGATGTAAGCATAAGTGGGTCTAGAGAGAGAATGAAGAGTCCAGTCAGCTCTCCTCTTGGTGGGTGGGCAAAGAATGGTTTTAATTACACTAATGGGATTGACACAGTGACTGTAGTAATGGGCTTCAGTGTTCACATCTGTTGTTCATAGAGGTCACTATGAGTCATACTTGACTGGATAGCACCTAACAACAACAGCTGAACCCAAAAGCCTCTGGGATATGTTGATATGAATTCATTTCCTAGTTTAAGAAGCTGACTGGTCTGTTACTTTGTTATGTATAGAACAGCCCACTTTCCTAGAAGTTGATTTTAATTACTTACTGATTTATTGTATCCAATCTCATTGTCCTCCATCCTCATTGCTTATATCGGTGAAGTGGAAAGAGCATGGAAATCTTTGCCAAGATCTGTTAAAACTCTAGTTTGTAAGGACAGGTACCTTTGGAATTAGGAAACGGTGGGTTCAGCTACAAAATGTAATGCTAAATGAGTTCCTAGGGAGCTCTGGTGGCCTAGTGGCAAGAAGCTGCACTGCATTCCCAGAGGCATGCGGCTCAAATCCACCAGATGCTCTCCTGGAGAAGGAGGGGCAATCTCTTCCTGTACCAGTCATATTTGATTTGATGGTACACACAAAAAATAATAAAATAAAAAAAAAAAGAAGAGTTCCAATCTTCACTGTATCTCTTACCAAATGCCCTTAAGTCCATCAGTAAGATCATCTTCTTTGCACATATACTGTGAGTAGTTCTCCCGGATGCTGTTTATTAGTTAAGGCACTTAAAAGCAGCATATGTAAGTCAATCCAATTCATGTGCTGGCACTCTCTGTAAATATGTAAATCAGGTAACATGCTGTCTATCAAATCTGGTTCTATCATTATGGTAGCAGGATAGAGGATATGGAGAAATAAGAATGTGACCTAACTTGAATCCAGTTATCTTGAGTCATAAATAATTGAGCCTGGAGATACAACTGAATTTTATTTTAAAACATTTTTAAGAATTGGCTATTTTGAGGCCAGTGTCTTTCCTACTAATCCATAATGTCCTTGGCTAAAGCAGATGTTGGTGCATGTAGACAACGAAGCATCAATCAACCAGACTTCCCTGGAGCTGAGCACAAGGAGCCATGCTCTTGAAGAGGAGGAGGAAGAAGAGGAAGAAGAATCTGATTCATGAAGGGGGAAAAGAATCAGGGTTAGCTATGCCCAGGCTCAGGAACTTTCTCAAGGAATCATTCTGCATGAGCCTTATGGCCTGCTTAAAAGGGAAAGATGCACAATTGTAAAAATGGCTCTAACAGTAATCTCAACCTTCAGGGTGTTTTAACAACGTCTGGTGAAATACATAAATGAAAGATGTGAAGTCTTAGCATTAAGCCACATAGGTGGTGCTCTTTCACTAAGCTAGTCAGATTCCTTAATGTGTCCAAAACACACAAAACGTTCTCTGAAATGCCACTGAGAAAGCTTGGCATTTGCTGAAAGGGCAGAGTTCAAATACATGTCAGCCTTTCCGATCATCATTGGTTCTTTTCAGCAAAGCTTTGGACCACTTAGAAGCCCTGCTTTTAAGAGAGTCAATTAAAAGCTGTTGGCATGTGAGCACAGCAAGGCCACAGTCTAGGGGAGAAAAAGATGGCAGGGAGGGATGAAGATGGAAGGTGGCTTGACAGCACCAACTGTCGCCACCCCACTTACTGGCATTGCCACATGGCACCCACTAGACTGCTTTTTATGTGATTGGTCATCACTTCTAGCTTGAGACAGCACAATGTGGCAAAACGCACTTAGAAATAAATAATAGCAGAGAATAGGATTAGTTCCTCCTAAATGAAAGCAACAAAGTTGATAGTTTGAAACCCATTTCTGGCCTTAACAGGAAATGTGCCCTTAAAGAAGAAGTAACTGTGTTTAGGAGATTTGACTATTAATAATAAAGAGATAATCAGCTTGCTAAGTGTTGTTAGAATGTGGAGTTAAAGTTTAATTTCTGTATACTGTCTCTTTTACACTACATGTACAATTAAATCACCTAATGAAATTAGTTTGTCCTGCTTAGTGACAAAAAAGTCAAACACCTCCCCCCCCAGAAAAAAAAAATTTAAGCAGAACTTTTATGTAACTGTTCTAGAAGAGAATATGAACACATTTTCTAATTGTGGTTTCATTAAAGTTATTTTGAGCCACTCTTGCAGGAAATAGCTAGAAGTGTAAATGAGCCTGTTCTTAGAAATCACAATGTGAAATGCTTGGAAGCTATAAAGTATTAAGCTGTGCATTTTTGAGGTCTAAGTGAAAAGTATAACAGGAGTTTTTAGGAACTAGAAAATTCTTTTGAATTCTGTTCCCCTAACTATCCCTTGCCCTCTTATCTCTGCAACTCTCACTTCCTGTCTGTAGGAAGAGGACAGTCACATTGGTGCTAGCATATCCAAAGGTTGTGAGGTGTCTTAAGGAGTCTAGGTGCAAGAGTTCATTGATTGCTAACTGGAAGATCAGTTAAATCCACCCAGTGGCTCGATACGAGAAAGTCCTAGTGATTTATTCCCATAGAGATTAAAGCCTAGCAACTTCTACTGTGTAGTTCTGCTGTGTTACTTGGGGTCACTATGAGTCAGAACAGACCAGGCAGCACACAACAGGGGAATGTTTAAAATTCCTATATATATTGATGTATCAATAAGGTGAATCTGATGAAGGGGCCTGGCAAGAAACTCAAAACATGGCAAGGAACTCTTTGGCAAAAATTACTAGGAAGAAAAATAAGACTATAAATTAATTACCTTTGGATTTTTATAAGAGAATTAACACACCCCTCAAATGACACTAAGTAAGAAAGCATTTGGATTCAGGCTTTGGGTATCAGGTGACACCATTCCTCCTGTGGATGCAGTTTGCTTTTTTTTTTTTTTTTGCAGTTCGATGCTTCTTTATTCTGGTGATTCAAAAAGCTCAGTTTGCTTATTTTAATGATATGCACTTTCAGAAGAAGTGTCAGTCTCTGTTACAAAAAGAAAAAAGGGGTGGGTCTGATATTGAAAACATGTAAACCATGTCATAACTGGAGCTACTTATTGTTCATACACGTATGCTGAACCCACTGCCATCCTGTCAATTCCAACTCAAAGCATCTCTGTGGGATAGAGGGTGCTTTCTAAGATGGTAATTTTTACAGGAGCAGACTGACATCTTTTTCCTGTTTGGTTAGCAGTCCAGTGCTTAACTCACATCATCACGAGGACATCTTTGTTAGCCTTATTAGCAAGGAAGTATCGACTAGTTTCAGCAGCAATGTATTATACAACACTGCTCCAGTTTAAAAATCCTGCTTCTGTCCCCAAGCTCTAAAAGATCCAGACTGGAACAACTTGCTCAGTAGAGCAAGTTTTTAATAGTTGTTTTTACTCTGCACATGTGACCTTTTAATGGTTAAATCTGAATCTTGGCCATGGTTTTCTAACACCTACTTTTCAAAGGTGAAAAGAGGTTTCTGTACAGCCTTACATCCACCTAAAACTTCCAAAGTGACTTCAGAGGAGATGGCACATGTGTCTGGTCAGAACTATTTTTGTAACTTCACAGGCATGCCAGAGCCAGGCACATGGAGAAGGTGTGGTTAAGTGTAACTGGGCAAAAGAGTAGATGATCGCTCAGTGTAGCTGAACAGCATGTGACTGATGTAGGGCAGCGGTTCTAGCTACCAGCTTGCCAGAAGGCGCTCCTGTGAGCAGTGGTCCTTGAACTGGGCAGCCCAGGCCTGCAGGGCCTTTTTTTGTATGGAAAGTGAGAAATGCTTTTTCTTGAAATCTTCTCTTCACTATCCTAGGCTGCTGCTTTCATAAATACGAGGGAAATGGCTCATGATTAAGACAGTGTGTGGTCAGAAGAGCTGAACAGAATTTTGTTTTGTGATTCAAAGCCTGGAATCACAAGAAACCTAATTAGTCAAAAGCCCTGATTTGTCAGCATGGTATTTGTACTTTTCCAGCCTCCTTCCCTTCTTTCTTCCAGTGTAATAGTTGGTAATAATACATCATACATTTGAAATGTAGTGTTGGCTAAGAGTACTGAATGTCCCAAGGATATTCATATGCCAAAAGAACAGATCTGTCTTGGAGGAAGTGCAGCGAGCTCTTTCTGAAAGGCAAGGATGATGGGACTTTGTTTCACATACTTTGGGCATGTTGTGGGGAGAGGCCGGTCCTTGGAAAAAGATGTAGAAAACTGGAAGGTTAGCGAGAGAGGAAATCCTCAGGATGACAAGAGTGACTCCAACGATGTACTTGAACATGGTGTAGAGTGTGAGAATGGGACAGGGGAGGGCAAGGTTTTTAATTTGTTGCTCGTAGGGTCACTATGAGTTGCATTTAACTCAGTGGCACCTAACAGCCAACAGTGAAATTGAAAGTCCATCACAAAAGTAGAAAATACTTTTGTCCCTTTTTATTTTTAACTTTAATTTGCATATATATTAGGATAAGAGATTAGATTTGTTAAACATCTGGATTAAAATGGTTAAAAGGATTTTCATACAAGTTTTAGGCACTATACACTTGTTTTACAACAGCCTCAGTACTTGAATTCAGGGGGAGAGGAATCAGACATTTTTATGCTTTGATCGATCTGTGACAATGAAAAGAACTTGACTGTTTTGGGAACACTAAGCCAAATTTAAAGAGACATATACTGCTAAATAACCCCACAAAGTATATTTAAAAATAAATATAGAAATACAACCAGAAATTACAAATCATCTTGGTAGACAGACTGATGAGGCCCTGGCTAGCATGGCAGTAAAGGGCTCTGGCTAGATTTTGATGGAAAATGCTGAATTCTACATCAAAAGCAAATAATAATAATACTAACATGACATACACTTTCTGATGTTCATTTTCAGAGCAGCAAAGCATGCTTCACATGCACTGCTTGTGCAGGGTCTCCTGGGCTCCTTCCTATGCAAATGGAGAGGTTGCCCAGCAGGAATAAAGTACCATGAAGTGTCAAGAGAATCCTGAAAATACGGGTGGCCAGCCAGTCATGGCGAGGCAACAGCAGTGTGGTTTTCAGTAAAAATTACTCACGGTCACCAAAATTTCACTGTAATTCAGCGTTGCACATGTTTTGATCAACAACATACAAATGCCCCAAGCACACAGCCAACCCACTTAGGGGAATAATAGAAGAATAAAGACAATAATAGTGAAAATAACACAAGTAGAATTTTGGCACATGCTGTGTTCTTCATCCGTTGTCACAGGTGAAATGCATGTCTGAATGGAGACAGGCATGAGAATGAGGCCCAAAAAGCAACATGGCGCACACTGGGCAGGAGCTCCTCTCCGCAGCTCCAATAATGCTTAGACGCCAGCCGCATGGGTCGGTGTGCTGGGCTGGTTAAGGCCAATGGTGGAGCAGAGCCAACCTGCAAAATCCACCTCTTCAGCATCAGATCTCTTAATGAAAGCATGAACCTGGATGCAGAAAATGGGAAGAGAAAGTGGTGTTAAAAATGACCAAGATGGAAAAATCACCCTAGGTGCAGTCTCCAGGCTAGAACTTGGGCAGCACATGCAAGGAGCTCCCAGCACCGTCCTTGTGCAGCAGTCAAGATCAAGAAAGCAGGGTTAACTGCAGGCCAAAGAACCACTCAGCCTGTCACTACTGGCCATGAGGTCCTGAAGAAGTCACTTAACCTCTGAGCCAGAAATGAAGTAATAACCCTGTCTTGTACACAATAAAGGGCTGTCACAGGTGGTGGAGGAAATGATGAACTTGGAAATACAGATGCTACTGTGCAAGGTATTAAAACATGCAAGATACTCAGAATATTATCCACCCCAACTACTCAGCCATCAAAAGAGACAAACAGGGTGTGACCTGGGGAGGGTGCTGGCTGCAGGAGTGGAAGGGGGCCAGTCCTCATGCAAAAGGTAGATTGGCCCTTATACCCTCAGTTGCCTGGGACTCTTCCTTTCACACTCTTAACTTGCTGGAGGTCATTCTAGCTTTTCTTATAAACTGATGGGAGAACAGAGCTGACTTAACAGTACTGCTGTAACCATAGAGCCAGCAGAGGGAGTGGTCTGCACAGAGCAGGGAATGGGGCTCAGAAATGACTGAGAGGAAGAACAGTGAATAAGTAGGTACTGACATATATGGACTTACCATGAGTTGCTTCAGATCTGCTCTCTCTGCAGGATTTTTTATTAGGCTTAAAAGAAAAGAATGTGAGAACTATTACCTGACACAGATTCTATCACTAATAACCTGCACTCCCATCCTCCCCACGCTGCTGATTCTATGAGGAGTGCCCAAGTTTATCTTCCTGGTCTTAACACTGTGTTGTGCCCATTAGTGGGTAGGTTAGAGCCTGCTGAATTAAACTCTGATCATAAGGCAATGTACCAATCTCTGGAGGCCATGCTAACACAGCTATTCAACCCACTGCTGTGCATGTTAACTTGAGGCGAGTCACATAAATCCTGGTACTCAGGAAGGCGGCCCCAGGGCAGCAGCTGAGGGATGAGTAAAGCTGCACCAGCAAAAAGGAAAGCTGGAACCAGACAGGATGGGGACCTACTGACACCACCCTAACCTTCCAGAGAACAGGAAGCTGCTTACCATTTATTCACAAAATCCTGGAATTCCAGACTGAATACTCCACTGGGAAGTTTTGGAGGAGGCTGCAAACACATGTCAAAACATGAGAAATGTCGCTCGCATCACCTTTCTCCACCCCATCCCGACCTTTCTGCTGGGCTGCCCTTATCCAGTCAAGGACCAGCTGGCAGGTCACCCTGTTGGGACCCCAATCTTATGTACCACAGTTAAAACTAGGTTCAAGTCAGTGTTGTTCCACTTGCCTACTGACTCAAATCACTCCTGTTGTGCATCTCAGTTTACCCTTCTCTGAAACAAGGGGGCCCTGTCCACCTCTGACTCTTGTAAATCTTGGGAAGATGGCACAGAAACGACTGGCAGCACCATCTAGACATGCAGACTTCCTGCAAAAACCACAGAAGGCCCAAACAAAACAATCTCTTTCTTGGCCCCAGAGGCTGAGAAAGGTCAATGAGGCATTAACCAGCAGAGGGCTGGATCTGGAAGAATATTAGCCGGACATTCCAGGAATGAGGCAACAAATCAAGAGCACAGGTCACAGCTCTCAATTTCTGATGGCAGAGACCACAGAGGGCCAAGCATATGGGCCACATGCCGCCAAAATGTGAGCCCCTTTGCAAGCCCTGTGCCAGGGCTGCGGGCAGCTTCCCCATGTGATGCTCACTCAACCACAGTGCCCAAGAAGCCATGGCTCTGAAGTATAGTACAGCATCAATGGGTAATTTGTAAGAAGAAGGGGCGGGGGGAGGGGGGGGATGAACCTTACCCCCTTCTAAAAAAGCCCTTTCTCCATATGCTTCCTCAGAACAAGTGAGCCTGAACAGAGCTCAAAGAGCCTAGTACAAGCTCTACTTTGCAGACTATCCCTGCATAAGGGGACATTCAGGGAGAAAGCACTGGATATTCAGAAGACAGAGGCCAGCGTCCTTTTCTCCTAAGCGGCCAGGAGTCACACAAGTGTGGTCACAGAGGGAGAGAAGATGCCATACCACCGAGCCCAGCCTCCTAAGAGGGAGCAGCAAGGCAGGCCAGGAGGAAGGAGCACTCCATGGAAAAGGATCGAGCCTCTGTCATTCAGAAGCCTGCTTCCTCACCTGTATGAGAACTGCCTCATTACCCTAGTCATTGCACACTGAGAGCTTGGTGGCTGTGGTAAACTCAGGCCATCCTGTCCCTTAATACCCGCCCTCAACAAAAGTAGGGGGTCAGCTTCCTGACCACCACATATGAAAGCCTTTGAATCCTTAAGCAGCAAAGGTCAGATCGTGACATTTTCTACAGCCCCTGGAACTTGGCTCAAAACTGTGCAGACAATAAACAGGTGAATTAGCCCCCTCGATAGCCAGGTCTGTGAACCAGTCATTATGACTGAATTAACTGCTGAGGTGAGCCAGGGTTTTCTGTGCAGTCTGCAACTGGGGGAGAGGAGGAACACCTTTTTAAGTATTTTGAGGTCTGGTTTTTGAGGACAGTAATGAAGTGAAAGACATCATTCTAATGGTCTTTTGAGGAAGAAAAGAACTGGTATCTTAATATCCCAGCCAAGTGGGGCCTCTGGCTGCCTCCCAAGCACACCCGTTAGTCCGCTTCTCTTCCTCTGTCCATGATAGCTCAGTACCAGCAAAGCTAGCCCTGCCATCTTCCCCGTCTGGAGTCTAGGCTGAGCTGGCCCAACTCCTCCACACCTACAACCAGGAGCAAGGCCACCTTCCTCTGAACAGTGCTCATTCTTGCCCACAGCTTTCCGCTCTCCCCAAGCCCACACGTGATCAATGAATGTTAGTCTCTTCATTTGATCCTTCACCCCCCAATTTAAATGAGTGCTGAAGGTGCCATGGACTGCTAAGAAAACAAACAGATTCATCCTTGAGAGGGTTAAACCGGGCTGCTCCTTCGAGGCAAGGATTCTGAGGCTTCGTCTGACATAATTTGGTCATGTCATAAGGAGGGATCGGTCCTTGGAGAAGGACATCATGCTTGGTAGGGTGGAGGGCAGGCGCAAGAGGGGAAGACCCTCTATGAAGTAGATTGATTCAGTGACTGGGGCAATTGGGATGGGAGTGTCAGCGACAGTGCGACTGGCACAGAGCACAGTTTAGGGCTGTTGTACATAGGGTCGCTATGAGTCGCAAGCGACTCGACGGCACATAACAACAACAACAAATAGTGTATATTACAAAGCAACAATACCCATCAACAAAACCATCAAGTACTTATCATTCTAACATTCAGCAATAACAACTATATTGTGCTACTTTCTTATCTCTTTATATACATATAATTACCAACATAAGAGTTGGTGATATTACATACTATTTTGTAATCTTGTCACTCAGCAGTTTACAGTGACTGCTTTCCCATGTCAGTGTCTAAGCGGCATTGTTATGCTCTCTCAATTTTTTAATGGCACTTGAGAAGCCTTATACAGTGGGTATTCGTGCATCTGCCTTGCCTCCCATAGAGGAGTTTTTTTTAAATTCTTTTTATTTTTTAGTATTATTTTGTGTGTCTGTGTACCGTCAAATCAGATCTGACTGGTACAGGAGGAGATTGTCCCTCCTTTCCCGGCAGAGCATCTGGTGGATTCGAACCATGCACCTCTGGGGTTGCAGTGCAGCTTATTGCCACCAGGCCACCAGAGCTCCCCTCCCATAGAGTTTTGAGTCTTTTGTTTTTCTATCCTGGAGTCCCCTCCACATCAACCCAACCCCACAGGGCTTAGCATGCACTAAGAGCGAAGAAATGCTTAGTGAGTGAAAGAACAAGAATTTAAGTCCGCAGGGTGGAGTTCCCAATCTAGAGGACTCAGAACTATCTAAGGGATAATCAGATAGTTCTGGGAGGGGACCACCTCAGTCTCTACTCTAGCCCCCTCAATTCGAAGAGCCTAAGACACAAACCAGAGCAGGAAAATCTGGAGGCCCAGGCAACCCTGAGAGACAACTCACAGGTTTTCCAGTCAACCCAGTTATGGGGTCCCCCCCCAAGATGAACAAATAATTCCAAGGTGAGAGAAGCAGTGTGTTACTTACTTCATTGACTATGTAATCCAACAACTCAAAAATCGCCATGGGAGGTCGACTGTCCATTCCATAAGCTACAGATTTTATAAAAAAGGGACAAAAGAAACATTTCTCAAAAACCGTTATTCTTAGGACAAGGGTCAGGCATGGATCCTGAGAACCAAAACAAGGTCACGAATGATCACCAGAGGTGCAATACCACAACTAAGACCTTAAACCCAGAGGCTTCCAGCAGAGGCTATGGCATTGACTCTTGGGCCTCAGTTGTGAGCTTGATAAAGGGGGGGTTGAGTAATAAAATTATATACACATTTCCTTCCTTCTTTCCTTATTCTGTTGAAAGGACAAGTGGCGATATGTGAAAGGATTTTTTGACTTGTCCTTGGACTTGGGTTTCTCCCTTCCATACCTAGTACTACTGTAACAGAAATACTACAAGTGGCATAGGGGTGGAATTTACTATGCCTGATTTGGGAGGACACCATTAAATCCTCAACATTCTATCCTCTGATGCCAAAAACTTCATGTTGCCCTTACATGTGAAACATACTCATTTCATTATCTCCAAAGTCTTAATTCCAAGTCGTCACCCCCCCCATCTCATCTTCTGTAACATCTAAATCAAATGTGGGTGACACTTTAGGCATTCATCTGTGAGCCTGGGAAATCTAGAATACAAATCGTATGCTCCCGAAGTGCGGTGGCAGAACAGGCACATTACATAGGTACATATTTCCATTACAGACGTGAGAAACTGTAGGAAAAGAAGGGATAACAGGCAGCAAGCAAGTAAAGAATCCAGCAGAAGAAATACATTCTCAAGGTTTGAGTAAGTAGTTCTGAGACCATCTAGACAATGGCTCTGCTCCAGACTTTGAATGTGAGCTATGCCTTCAAGCTTCAGAATGGAAAGAGACCCCCTGCTCCTGAGCTTCAGCTCTGTCTCCCAGGCTGACTGCTCCCTTGGCTTTGATCAGTCCCATTCTCCTATCTAAATGGCAACCTCACCCAGTGAGCCGCAGCAGCCGCATCCCCTCAAAATTTTGACAATGGCTCCAATTGTCCTGGCACTGGTGAATGGAAGCCCCACACTCCTGAACCAAGTTAGTGAAGTTCTACCTCCTTGAAACCTAGCAGGGGCCCCACTCCTGGAAGCCCAGCAGGCCTGGATCCACCTGTGAAATAGAGGTAGGCCTTTGTCCCAGGCTCCTTCTTACAGTTCTGCTGATGTCTTACTCGCTCCATCAATGGCCCTTTTATTTTCTCAGGGGCAACATGGTCCCTCTGGCCTGTTTGTTGCCTGCAGACTTCTGTGAGGCAGCCAGTGTTCCTCCTTCCTGTTGTTCTTTCTCAGAGCCCTTCAGTTTAAGCTAATGTGTTTTCTGCTCTGGTGGTTGATTCAATCCATCAGTCATAGCCTTAATGTCTTTAACAAAAGACTGTACAGCCAAATCCTTGGCAAAAATTCTAGAGCATGTATCCTTGGCTCATATAATAAAATCATATCTTTATTTTAGAGAATTCATTTTTAAATCAATTTCTTTCCTCTATACATTTTACTGTAAGTAGCAAGGGAAAAATAATGTTGACTCCTTTCTGAAAATCTTGCTTAAAAATATCATCAGTCTGAGATTCAAGTCCATTATTCTCAAGTTCTACCTTTTAGCAAACATTTGACATAATTCAGATAAATTCTTTGCCACTGTGTAAAAAGCATCATCCTTCCTTCCTTGTTCAATCACGTTGATAATTTTAAAGTTCCCCTACAAGTGCATTTAACACTACTTTTCTAGCAACATTCTATTTGCCAACACCTTTTGTTTTTTTTTTCATCTGTAAATATTTTTTAAATTATTTTATTATTCTTTTTTAACAAACGGCCCCAGGGTTAGGGGACCAGGGGAAGGGGGAGGAGGGGAAGCAAGGCCCCAGCCCCACAACTCCTCCCCACCCACCCCATTCCCCCTTATATATATTTATAATCTATATACAAGCCCCGGGGGGTGGAGGGTGAGGGGCAAGGGGATCTTCCCCTCAGCGGGGTGGGGGTAACCCAGGTTCCTTGTCCCCTCGGGACCCAGGCTCTTCTGTCCTTCGAGAGGACTCTTCTCAAGAATGTCAACACCTTTTGAATTCTCTATAACAATACTACTTTCTCTACAGCACTTCTCACTTCCCTCTGAGCACGCAAAACAACTGCTATGACATCCGTAATTCTACCAACAGTCTCTTCAAGGCATTTAGGCTTTTATTAATTGTTATGTCCATCCAGTCAGAACTGACTCATAGCTGATCTTCACTGAGTTATCAGTGGCAGTTAATCACATAGTAGAAGACTACCCATCCTTCTCCTACAGAACAGGAGGATGGATTCGAACTATATACCTTTGGTTTACAACATAGCTTCTTACCACTAGGCCCTTACTTTTTTCCCCGTCACCTTACATTTTTCCAGCTTCTCTAGCCACTGTCTAATTCCAAAACCACTTTTATATTTTAGGTATCTGACAGAGCACCGTTCACTCTCTTAGTGTCAAATTCTATTTTAGTTACCTAGGGCTGCCCTACTAGAAACAAAATAAGTGGGTGGCTTTAATAAATAGATTTATCTCTTCACGGTTTAAAAGGTCATGTTGTTGTTACCTGCCACTGAGTCAACTACCACTCACAGCTGTCCTCTGAACAACAATCTAAGCCTTGCCCTGTTCTGCACCATCCTCATCGTCTCTGGGAACAGTCCATCTTGTTGAGGATTTTCCTCTCTTTCTCTGACCTCCCACTTTTTCCAACATGATGTCTTATTCCAAGAATTGGCCCTTCCTGACAACATGCCCCAAGTATGAGATGAGACTTCACCATTCTTGCCACTAAGGAGCACCCTGGTTGCATTTCTCCATGACGGACTTCCTTGTTGTTTTGAGAATCTGCAGGCTACTCAGTCCTCTTCTCCAACACCACAGTTCAAAGGCATCAGTTCTTCTTCTGCAATCCTTAGTCACTGTCCAACTTTCAGATGCATAACAAGTAACTGAAAAGACCAACATCTTTGCTGTTTAGCAATTTGGAGAGGAATCTGTCAGCAGATTTTCCCGATGGAACACGTCTTGATTTTTGAACTGCTGGTACCATGGGTGTTGGTTGCCAGTGCTAGTAAAATGAAATCGTTGGCAACTTCAATCATTTTTCCATCTATCATGATGTTGCCTATAGGCCCAATGGTGAGGAATTTTGTTTTCTTGATGTTGAGATGTAATCTATATTGAATGGTATAGTCTTTCATCTTCTGCCACAAATGTTTCAAAAGTGTGTGTATGTGTATCCTCGCTTGTTTATAGTGCACTCTGTTTACATTATTTTAAGAGGCTAGAAGTCTAAATTAAGTGCACCAGCCATAAGAAGGTATTCTCCGTGGCTCTGAAGGAAGGTCTTTGTTTCTTTTGTTTTTAGGCGATTTTCATGTGGCTTGGCATCTCTCTTCCCAATCTGTTTCATCCATGCTTGTTTAATCTCTTCTGTAACTCAAAAGAGAGATTTAGTCAAGGCACTTCCTACACCAACCCGGTCTCTTTAGCATAGTATAGAAAACTAACTCCCAAATGGAATTATGCCGACAAGTATAGAGGTTAAGATTTACCACACATATTTTGGGGAGACACACTCAAGTCATCACAATAGCCCAGAATCACAGACCAGTCTTAGGGCCTAGAAGCAGTTCTTCCAACAAGTCACCAAGCCCCTCTGCCTCTCCCTTCACACACATTCTCTCCTATGTGGGCCTCATGGATCAGACCTTCCTGGTCATTTAGAGACTTGCTGGCAGAAGCTCCCTATGCCAGTGGTGGCTGGACCAGAATCTTCCCTGAGGATCATCTTTACTTCACAATCTTCATGTTCACAGAGGCTCACAGTACTGCTTAGTGTGTTACCACCAGCCCTGGAGCTGATGCAAGCTCATGAGGCCTTGGCAAGCTAACTGCTCTGTGCCGCAGTTTCCTCATCTGTGTAACAGAAATTACGCTAATGCTCCGACTGAGCATTGCTACGACAAACAGATAATGCTGGCAAATCTATAGAGCTAGAAATTAGTTGCCAGGGGTAGGTGTAGGGGATGACAGGAGTGATTGCTCATGGGTATGATGGAAATGTTCTAGAATCAGAGTAGTGACAGTACTAAAAACCACAGGGTTTTAGACTTTAGAAAGGTAAAAATGGTGACTTGCATGTTATATGAATATTATAAAATTTAAAAAGCTATCTCTAAAAAAAGAGGAAGAAATGCTATGACTTAAAAGAAAAACAAACAAGCATAAGTGCTACAGAGAAAGATCTAAGCACAGCGCCCAGAACACAGACACTCACAAACAGTAGGAAATCAGAGATAGCAAAAATGGCGTCGTCCTGGAGACCCCTGCTCTGCTCCCCATAACCCTGGCCTGAAAGCAGGGCCAGGGCACCCGTGTGACAGAGCTATCGGTCCTCCAGACACCCTTACAGGAAGAGACTCTGCGGTCCAAGGCAACCACACACCAGCACACTCACAGCTGAGGGGCCTCCCAGGGGTCCTTGGCCTGGGTGGTGTCTCAGCTGCATCTCCCTCCACATGGCACCCAAACATCAGCTCCAGCTCCTTGGCATCTGGAGGAGGGATGGGGTACCTCCCAACTGCCATCTCCACCAGGGAAAGCCCCATGCTCCAGATGTCCGACTGCACAGAGTAGTGAGTCCCCTGGAGTCTTTCTGGCTGCAGGAGAGATGGACACACAGTTATAATCACCTGTGAGCTAACACAGCCCAAGTAGAAGAGGGGGGGCGGGTGAGTCCCTGGATGCTTGGAGGCTTCTGGGTTGGCCCAGGCTTCCTGGCCCTCTGAGCTGTTTGCTCTGCAGGACAGTGGGCTACTCTGGTCCTGGTCTTGCTCTGCTGATGCATTTTATCTTCTTCTGCCCCTTCCTCTCATGAGCTAATATATTGGTTCACTAACCTCTTATATTTGGCCTCTCATATGCATCCAAATACTGTATTTACCCACTCACTGGTGGATCCCTTGGCTCTGACCTGTCCTTCTGCCTCTACCTTCCCTTGAACTGACTGCATCTACCCTGGTTGGGCTTCCTGTCCGGAGATCCAGCCTGGCTCAATCAGACCATTGTCCTGTATTTGGAGCAGCATGTGCAAGCCCCAGGCTATGACTCTGGTCCTGTCATCTAAGTCTGAGACATGAAGTCTGGGGCATGGATTACAAATGAGATGGGACAGTGAGTCCTGAGAGTCAGGAAAGCTGAGTTTTAAGACACACTCCTCCCCACCCCCACACACTGATGCACTGTCTGTCCTTGGATAATATGAAACAACAGAAAAGGCAAAAGGTTTTTGTCAGGGACGTGGGCTCAGGTCCCAGCGCTGGGACTTACAGGCTAAGTGATCTTGAGCCTTGGTTTGCACATCTACCAAAGGGGGTAATAACAATGGTACCAACAGTCACAATCTCTACCCTAGCGGCAAAGCATCGACCCTAATGGTTGGTCACTTGGCTGCTGAGGCAAAGGTTCAAACCCAACCAGCTGCTCCTCAGGAACAAGACCTGCTGATTTGCTCCTGTAAAGACTGCTCACTGCTGGCAAGTCAAAGTGGACACAGAACAAGCCTACGGGACAGAGAACAGCCCCACAGGCTTTTCAGATGGCCACGTCTTTCTTCCACAGAGAGGCTGGCGGTTTTGAACTACTGACCTTCTGGTTAGTAGGAAAGCACTTTAACCACTACACCATCAGGCTCCTCCTTGGAAAGACTTTAGCTTAGAAAACCCGTGGAGCGGTTCTACCCCGTCACGTGTTATTGCTACGAGTTGAAATAACTCAAGAACACCTACCAACCAAAATAATTTAATGCCCAGGGTTACGGAGAGGGTCAAATCAAATGACAATGTATGTTAGATGTTGTAAAATGCTGTAAAATATGAATTGTTACTGGTGAGGAGAATACAGGGGGGAGGGGTGGGCGAAGAGTATACACTATTACATAAAAGCATTGTTTCTACTGAACATTATTTTAAATATCACATGTATTTTAAGAACCCTACATAAGAATTTTAACTGTTTGACAACTGTGTACTTATTAGAGATCAAATAAACCTTTCCCATAGGATTTTTCACTTACTCAAACACTAGACTATTCTGGAACTGACCATATAACCACAACAACCTAGCCTTTAAACCCTGGATCAATAAATCCCAAGGCATTTTAATTGATTTTTAACTTGAGAGTTGGCAGTCAAATGTCCCAGGGTATTTATTAGACATTTGGAGAAGAGGCAAAGAGGGGAGGGCTGGGGGAAGGGACTGGATTCTAAAGAACCTGTGGGTATTAATGCTTCTTAAAGATGATAGGTCATTACAGTGGACAGTACAGATGGGACAGCATTTGGCAGGAATCTTGAGGACAAGCAAGAAGGAATGAGGATGTGGGCATGACCAGACACAAGTGGTCAGCAGCATAAAGCACCACAAGAGGCAAGTCGAGCTGGGCTGTTGACTGACAAAGAGGAGTTGGCTTTTGATCCCAGCTCTGTGAGATTAAGTGGACATGTCACTTAAATGCCTGGAGTCTGGATCTCCTTATCTCCAAAGTGGGAACAGTCATCTTCATGGGTTAATTACACGAATCAATACAGATCACTCAGGTATGTGAAACAGAGCACAAATAACACTCTGCAAGCAAAATAAGCAGCCTGGGCCTCTGGGCTGTCCCCCCACCTCCACGGGGACCTCCCACTCACTCTAACACGCTCTGTGTGAGCCCAAGAGGAGCTATATGCAGGGGGAGGGAAGAGAATATGCTGATGCAGGCACGGATGTGCAGGCAGCCCACACAGTGTTCTGGTGGCAGCAGGGGCTAGTGGAGTCAGGAGGAGAAGGTGAGAGCCCTTTGAAGGAGTGTCACCTGGGCTAGGACAGGGACTCCAGTGTGAGGCAGGGAAAGTGATGGGAAGCATGGTAAGTGAAGAGGGAGAGAAGTTAGACTGGGAACAAGTGTAAGCAGGCTCAGAGGAGCTGGGGCCACTGGGTTCTGAAAGATGGGAAGTGGGAAAGGAGTTTAAAACCTGGAAGCCAGGAAACAGTGTGCTATTCATATTCATATTCATATTCATATTCATGGCTAATAGAAAGGTAGAAGGCAACACAGTTCAGAGTGGACTCATGTTTGGGCCTGCTCAGTTTGAGGGCCTGAAGATGATTACATAGGGATGTCCAGAGGCAGCTGGAGCTCAGCAGCTCTTGAGAATGGAAGTCAAGATCTAAGGAACATCTCTAGGTGCAGCTGGTGGCTGAAGCTGTGCTCATAGTCTCTTGCAATGAGTCAATCCTATTAGCACCAATTATGTGCCAAGGCCAAGGCCACAAGACAATGATCTCTATGGAGTCGTATCTCCTCACCCCTCACTCTGTACTCTCCACTCCCACCACCCAGCACAAGGCCCTGAATCCATAGGGGAAGACACCCATTTGACCTCATCCTTGACATATAAGAAGCTTCAGAAATGGAGCCCACATTTCATACCGACATGTAGGATCTTGTGCCCACGAAGGAGTTGGCCATGGAGTCAATAAGCTGCCCACTGACCCCAAAATCACAGAGCTTGATCTCTCCACGGGAATTCACCAAGATATTGGAGGGCTTGACATCTGCAGGGATGAGAAAATTGCAAAGCAGTGTTACCAAGATAGGATGGAGAAAGATTAGTGTTCCTCAGACAAACCAACCCTAACCTTGGGTCCCAGGACACTGTCCCCATCTCGGAGCCGGCTCATGGTTTACGCACACTTAGAATGAGAATCAACATCCCTTTTCCCATTCTGACACCAAGGAAGGCGCGTCAGGAGACAAGAAGGCCAGCGGATTTCCACAGATGGCCGGGGTAGAGATCATGTTTATCATGAGTAACAAGATTTCTAAGTCTGTTGTCTCAATCAGCCCTGTTGGTAAGACACTGTATTTGTGGCTGGACTTAAAGGGAGGAAGGAAAAAACCAAAACTGAAAACCACAAGAGCTCTATGCTAGCTGAGGCCTTCGACCACAGATTCTAAAAGATCCAGTAGGGCAGGAGTTCCTGTTCTTGACTCATGTGCCCATGCAGCAGGGACTGGGAGTTGACTTAAGATGCTCTTTTGAGGTCATTTCCCTAAAAGCCTCCACATCTTCCCTTTGAGAGAAGGCTCCTCCTCAGGGCTGAGGTCATGCCTCTAGCACCAGACCCCAATAGCAAGCCTCCCCTCAACAGCATCAGCAACTATCACTACAGCTAGTGCCCTGGCCCTTCATTTAAAGAAGGAGGGCAACAATCCCAAATGTCTTCTCTCTCATCATCCTCTCTGATTTAGAAATTGCCCATAAGTAGGACATGTGGGCCCCTTATGCACACTTACAAGGTGAGCAAATTGAAGCTGAACCTCGGTGCAGGCGTCCAGGCCAGGGCTTTGTGGATGGCCACTGGCAAACAACAGAAGCCCATTCAAGAGCAGGCTACATCCAAAGGCAAAACCATAAACTCTGACAAGGAATCTTTAATAGCAGTGACACAAATACAACACAGAGCATGTGGGAAAGTGGGGACTAAGAGAGACCATCCATAATTCCTACCTAGTTTGGAACCCTTGTAGCATATTTTGTAGTATGTTGTGTTGCTAAGTATAATTCCAACCTACAAGAACCACTATAGGGAGCTCTGGTAACTCAGTGGTAAGGAAGAGCACTGCCAATACAAAATCACGTGGTTCAAATCCACCAGCTGCTCTGCAGGAGAAAGATGGGCAATCTCCTCCTGTGCAATTTACTGTCTCTACAAACTCACTGGAGGGTCAATTATGGGTTAGTTCTGACTCAACAGTACACAACAGATAGAACCATTACCAATACTTTATTCTTTTTCCTTTCAGTAGCTTTCACTTTATTCAGTCAGCTTATTTATTTTTTAAAAGATTCTAATAGGCTGACTTACGCATTGTTCTTATTGTTGGCTGCCAGTGAGTCAACCCCAACTTACAGTGACCCTGTGAACAATACAGGGTGCTCTGGTGGCTTAGTGAGTAAGGAATTACACTGCTAACCCAAAGGCAGGTGGTTTGACTCCACCAACTGCTCCAAGAAGAAAGATGAACATGTGGCTAACAGCTACTGAAAGCCCACTGGAGGGTCGGCAATGAGTCAGTTCTGTCTCAACAGACGTCACACAGAACAACAAGAAACATGAACAAGAGATCAAAATGTTGCCCTGCCCTGTGCCATCCACGTAATCTCCATCATGCTCAAGCCTGTCTTTGCAGTCATTACCTTCTCTTTGATAGACCCTCTCCTTTTCCAACCATGATGCCTCTTCTCAAAGATGGGCACCTTCTGACAACACACCACAGTATGAAAGGCAAAGTTTGACCATCCTTGCCTTCAAAGAGCACCTAGGTTACACTTCTTCCAGGACAGCTTTGTTTGTTCTTTTACAGTTTATGGCATATTCAATACTCTGCAAACAACACAATAAAAGGCATCCATTCTTCTGTCTTCTTTATTCCTTGAGCAAATTTCACAGATACAGAAAGCAAATGAAACATCCTTGTAAGCGTAAATAGTGGAGAGAGGGATGACCCTCATCTCGGCCATACTGCCTCCTGCCCAGGTTGTATCCTGGCCAGCGCCACCCTCTCAGCTCTAAGAGGGCAGGGGCCTTGTCTGCTTCACCACTGTCACGCGGGCAGAACTATTCCTGGAACACAGTGCTGTTATCAGGTGCTGTCCAGCCACAACTTACAACAGCCCTATGAGCAATAGGTCAGAACCTTGTACAAATACTGCAGAAGACCATTATTGTAGAAATACAAAGATAACTAGTAAAATGTGTATGAAGATCCAAGTGGGGAAAGGTGGGAGCAGAGGGGTGAGGATGGGAGGAGGAACTAATCATAGGGTTGCACAATTCGATAGGTGGAGGGAGGGGTGGGTAAAGTAAATGGCAAAGATATGGTGTGAAAAGCAATGTATATGAATCTTTTAAGTAAACCAGAAAAAAAAAAATAAAATAAAAATTTCATATTTTAAAAAAAGTGCTTGTTGACTAGATAGATTTTGTGGCATTTATCTTTCAATAGGACTTTTCCTAGCTATTGTTTGACTTTGCTATGTAGATGGGTGGGAATATGCGAATGGGGAATGTTAGCCTGTCCACAGGGGATTGGCCAGTCTCAACAAACTACAAGGGGATTGGCCGGTCTTGCGGAATTGAACAAGCCAGCAGGAAGAGACAGAGAGATCTTCTGGTGCCACTGAACAAGAAGGAAGAGAATACAGAATGCTCTTCTTGCTCCAACTACGCTGACAGGAGCATTACCTATGGCAGGAACACCTACATCCAAACTGGAGACCTGATGTGAGATGGGACCTCAGGGAGCAGGGAACCATTATTAGCAGGACTGAGAACTTGAGAACAATGGCCTAAAGACACGTGGCTTGAGCCTGAGGTGCCTGCATGCACATTTTGGGAGCTGTCTTGACTCTATTCTATTATTAATCTGAATTATAGCCTTCTGACATTCCTAACATGGTTCTGTGTGGTTTGTGAGCAATCACATCAGATTTTGGACCCAACAAGGCAGTAAGATAGGTGCTGAGATGAGTAGAAAGAGGTATGGGAGATATTGTTGATGGGGACGGCCCTCCTTTGTGAAGTTGATAAAGGTCACACATGGCCATCCCCACATGGCCCTTGCTCTTTGTACAGATAAAAACTCAACACATACAGTACTCAAAAGCTGTCCTGTATATGCATATACATACATACATACATACATACACACGGAGCCCTTGGCATAGTCTTTCTAAGATCCCTTCTCATGTCAGTCCTTCTGCCAAGTGGTTCCAGGCCAGGGTCTTCAGTAAGAAACACAGCTTTCCAAATGCCTGCCTTGTTATTGAGGAGGGAGCTCTGGTGGCATAATCCATCAAGTGTTAACCCCAAAGTAGAGTGTCTCCTAAGGTTCAAATCCACCAGTGGTTCCTCAGGGAGAAAGATGGAATGTCTCCTTTCATTAGAGTTCACTTCTTTTGAAATCCAAAGGAGAAAGTCACTACAAATCAGAACCATCTCAACAGCAGTGAGTTTGAATTTCCTGTCGTTAGCTAACTGAGCAGGCTATTGCCTCGTGGTAGCCCCGTGCATTATGGAGTAGAGCTGTTCCACAGTGTCATACTTTCTACCAAGGAGTCACTGGATGAGTTCAAACCATCAACCTTTAAGTTAGTAGTTGGCTGCAAATCACTTATGCCATCCCAGCTTCTTTCAAACTCTCCTACAGGAATACCTTTTGTCTCCTATATAAACATTTTCAGAATAGGGGCACCAGAAGGAGCCTTAGAGAGCACCTATTGGTGGTGGTGGTGTCTACTGTCAAGATGGAAATGACTCACAGCTGATCCTCCAGTGGGTTTTCAGAGGAAGATAACTGCATGAGAGGAGATTGCCCCTCTTTCTCTTACAGAGCGGCTGGTGGATTCAAACCGCTTGCCTTTGGTATTGCAGTGCAGACTTTTATCACTGGACCACCAGAGCTCCCACCAGAGGGTATCTGGTTACTCCCATATATGGTGGAAATGAGGAGTCTAAGGCCCAAAGAGGTCTGCCAACTAGCCCAGGGCCACACAGCATCTGTGTGATGCAAGGTCCAGTCTAGACCTTCTGATGCCTAGACTTGTCCTCTTCTACACCATCCTGTGTCCTTTCAATCCTCTGCCTCATGTTCTCTGAGCACTCACTAGGTACTGGGCTCCAGGTGGCTCCCAGGGAGACAACACTGAACAAATGGAACAACACTCGCTGTTATGAAGCTTAAATTCCATGTGAGGAGACAGATAATAAATAGCCAGTTGTGTAACTCCAGGCATTTTCCATGAAGGAAAATGTAACACAATTACTTGGAAAGTGAGGGGTGCTATTTTGATGGGGTGACGAGGGCAAGCCGCTGCAAGGAGGTTAACAGTTGGGCAACCACCTGGGTGAAGTGAGAGAGTGAGACGTGAGTCCTTCTGGAGACACACTATAAGCACAGGGGAGACTACAAAAGGGATTACCTTTTCTTTTGTTCTGTCCTCAAGCCTGGAGCTACAGCAGGCCCCGACAAGCACGCCAGAAGCTGGCGGTGAAGAGTTTCCAATAAGACATCCCACTTCCCCCTTAACACATCTGTCAGTGGCTAAAACCCTAGGTTTGAGCTCCTTCATCTGTTCCAAATGCTCTTTGTGGCTTCTTTTGAGTATTACTTCTTAGTAATATTGTCTTTGGGCCCTGTGTTTGGTATGGGGACAGTGGGGGCTGGGTATGGCAAATTTATATATATGGACACAGAGAAACACACTATAAACATTCTTCACTTCAAGCATGTCCTCACGCCCGATTTAGTGCCGGTGACACTGATTACACCACCAGTGTCATACAACTAAGCCTTCAGCTGCTACTGTGTCAACACTGACAGGGAAACTTATGTGTGTCAGAGTGGACCTAAGCTCCACAGCGTTTTCAATGGCTGATTTTGGGGGGAAGTTGCTTGTCAGGCTTGACTTCTGAGGTATTTATTGGTGAACTCAAATGTCCAACCTTTCAGCTGGCAGCTAAGTTCATTAACTGTGTACTCTCTACATGAC